CGGAGCGCGCGAAGAACCAGCGCACGGCCAGCAGGCTGTCCTTCCGCCTCTTCTGGGAGACGTGGCAGAGCAGAGTGGCATTCTCACCCTCCAGGTAGTTAACCACGGGCCCCGGGGACACAGTGACATTGAGAGCCCCACACACCTCTGTAGAGAAAAAGGGGAAAAAATGAGGAAGACTGTGGTCTGTGTCCCTGGGGACGGTCCTCAGTCGAGGAGCCAGGGACTCAATTTGTCTGGTGTCCAGGTGCGTGGCCAGAGAGGCAGGTGGCCCCCGGCCCTGCCACTGTCCCCCTCCATCCTCAGGATGGCCAAAGGAGGCGTTCTTCTGGGTGTGCCTCGGTGGGTGCCACATTCTCTTCTATGGGACCATCTGGTCCACGAGCGGTGCCGAATACCGACAACCTGGCCCAGGTGTACTTTCCAAAAATCTTTAATTAATTGCTGACATTTAAAACTCAGAAGATTTCACGTAAAAATTTGGATTTTGGGAATCTCTTGAAAATTACCAGCCCACACCTCATGCTCCCCTTCTCCTGGCCCCTCCCCAAGGCCTCCTTCAATCAGGTTTGTCACCAGCCAGTGTCAGCAATACAGTGGGCTGGGAGCTGCTGGCTCTCACGGTCTGTGCACCAAGCGGCCGTGCCCCTTCCCTGTCTCAGCTAGTTCACCTGCAGCTGGGGAAGACTGTCAGTCACGGCAGGCAGGGTGTTAAACTAGTGCCAGTGAGCTGGAACAACAGGGGCTGCTGTCCGAGATCAGGATCCGTGGCTTCAGAGTTGAAGTGCAGGTATAAAGAAGGAATAAGCCCCAGGAACAGGGAGGGATGAGAGACTCTCCCCACACCCAAAAGGTGCTTCAGAATTCCAGGCCCAGTCCACTACTTCCTGTCCTTTGCTTTCTTAGAACCAGCCCAAGGGCTGCCCACCCCCAGCTGCTCCTGAGCTGACCTTTGGTGGAGCCACCCCAATGCCCACCCAACCATCAGACCAGCACACCTCAGAGAGGTTGAACGCTGGTACCTTCTCCCAGGAGCCGCTATTTGCAGGGCACCATAGATAGAGCGGTGTGGCCACGCTGCCCTGTCGCCCATGGACGGAGCCTTCTCCCGGCAGGCTGAGCCCAAGAAAAGACGCACAGGATGCCCAGGACCTATTTCTGTCCAATTAGGGCTGTCTTCTCACCTGGTCTCACATCCATGCTCCAGGTAAGCAAGAAAGAAGGAGGAAAAAGAGATCAAGACAGATTTGAACATTCAGCGAGGAGGCTGTGGGTCCACAAAGGTGAGGTCCTAGTGCAGGGAATGGTGGGTAGCATATAAAAAATAATCTTTGTTCTAAGACTCCCGGCAATAGGCCATTCCCTTGTATGGTTTTCACTATCGATTTAATAAACTAAACTTCTCTAGAGAGATGATTTGAGGGTCCATTTTCTTTCTCATCTCTTGGAAGTCAGGTACTAGCCCATGGGACACTTGAGGATACTCCAAGAGCCTTCACTTAATCACATACATGAAGTGTCTTTCACCACATAAGGTGGCATTGACAGGTTCCCAGGAATTGAGACAAGAGAACTTTGGGGGCCGCTATCAGCAATCAGCACCCTAACACGCTCTTGCTACCTTAAAATAAATAGATGAACATAAACTCAGAAGATAAAGTTAATGCTCAGCTGGACTCTGAGCTCCTGTGGACAAGTGTGAGGTCTACAGCAATGAGGAAGGAAGCCCGCCAGGGAGATACTCGGGAAATGCAGGTCATCAGGTAGCCACAGGAGGCCACACTCTCTAGTGACAATCCCACTGTCATCAGAAGCCACTCGCATAGGGCAAAAGAAGAGGAATTAGCTCCATATCTCACCTGCATCTTTCCCACCTGTCAGGCGCCATGCCCACACACCATATTAAATTAGGTGGACAGCATTTCCTCCTGACTACGAAGGCCCCCTCAGAAGTCCCCATGGCCCCTATGGTGGGAGCTCACTGGTGAGCAGTGAGCAGCTGGGGACACCAGGCTGAGCGCCCCCCACAACACACACACACACAGCTGCCTGGGATGAGCAGGCAAGACAGCAGAGACGCAGCAGCTGGCTTCCAGAACTGAAGTTCAGCCCCGTCCACCCCAAAGAGCTCCCCACTGGAGCCCAGGAGAGCACGGGAAGGCAGGAAATGGAACCGATACAGGAGGGGTGAGAGTGCACAGTGACCCCACGCCCAGGCCCCTCTGACTAACGCTGCTTCAAGGAGGGGTTATTTACAGTGACTGAAACCAGGAGAATGCGCCAGGTGCTCCAGTCCCATGACAGGCCAGATTCCATCCTGGAGGCAAGCCAGTAACCCTTCCACAGCGGGGCCCAGGATAGGAGATGGGCTGAACCAGCCCCCCAGGAAGAGCCTCTCTCTCTTCACCCCACACCTCTCTGTTCCATTGTGCCCCATATTCTCTTACAAATGGCCCAAGATCTGTTTTTCCCACCAAAATGCAAAGACCCTTATTAGGGGCTGAATGGTGTCCCCCCAAATTTCATGTGTTGAAATCCTGACCCCCAGTACCTCTGACTATTTTTGGTTGGAGATGGCTCTTTAAAGAGGTAAGTTGGAATAAAGTCATTGGGGTGGGCTCTAATCCAATATGATCAGGATACCCATAAGGAAAGGACATTTGCATGACATGCCCAAAGGGAGGACCACGTAAAGACACAGGGAGAAGACGGCCATCTGCAGGCCGACACCAGGGGCCTCAAAAGAAACCAGCCCTGCTCACACCTTGACCTTGAACTTTCGGCCTACAGAACTGGAGGACAATAAATTTCTGTTGTTTAAGGCCCCAGCCTTTGTTAGCAGTCAAGCAAACTCATACAACCCTGTGCTTGGGAAGGTTCATGCCAGCCCTGCACCTGCCACCAACCCAAATATTCACACCCACCTTCCAGACAAGGGGGTGGGTGGTGTGATTGAAACTGTGGTGGCCGAGGGCCCTTCGAGCCTGAAAGCTTTGCTACAGGACACAGGTTGTGCGGGTCCCCAAGCCTGCAACGAGCTTTCCCAGTACTGCAAGCAGCTGCCTTAAAGCCAGCAAGCGCGGTGGCCAGGCTCCTCATGAGCATGCAGCAGCGAGAGGTGGCAGTGGCAAGAGGGAGGGGAGAGATGCCGGGAGAGCCGCATGGCCTGGCAAGCGTCAGCCCAGCAGAATGTTCATTTAGACACTAGGACAGAGGGTCGGACATCTGCCCCACTGCAGTCGCCAGGCCCGGATGGCTCAGCAGAGGAAGCACCAGTGGGAGTTGGGACAATGGGAAGCAGGAACACTCATGTAAGAGGCAGGCCACCAAGAGCGCAGGGCCCGTGTGAGCCAGGCCCTTCCCTGTGGGGTCTCAGTGTAAGCCACAGAGCACACACACCTGGCAGGGTCACGCCAGCCACAAAACAGGACAAGACGGGTGTCAACTCACCCCTCCTCCACCAGGTAAGGTGACAGGGAGTCCAGGCAGACCAGAACCTCCTTTCTCCTGGTCTAAGAGGAAAAATTGTTGAAGTCACTCTGGCCCAAAGAAAATTTAACTTCTTGCTTTGTGTCCCCATATTACAGGGAATTGAGGTGGGAGGCAGACTCCCCCACACATTACACCTGCCCGCTCAGAGTTCCGGCTTCCTCCAGCTTATGCCCCATGCGCCAGGCAATATATGAAGAAGCAGACAGCATTCCTCATGGAGGTAAGAGTCCAGAGGGTAAGGTAGCCATTCACTAGCAAAAAGACACAGAGAAGATAACTAGTGTCCCATGCTACAGAGAAAAAGTGCAGGGCTTAGGAAAATCACAGCAAGATCCTGATCTAGACTGCAGGGCCAGGGAAAGGACCTGGGGATGTGACCTTGAGCAGAAGTCTCAGAGTTAATGTAATAACAATCAGGGCAGCAGTGTGGAGCAATCTTTCTGAGAGAGGGACCACTGTGCAAAGGCCCCGAGGCAGGAGGAACCCTGTGCAGGCTGAAAATGGAGAGTTTGGTGTCCTCTGATGAACTGCACCCCACCGTGGCCCACACAGCCACCCCTGTCTGTATATGGCCTCAGGAGGGGACTCTCTACTGCAGTCAGAGCCCCCAGGGCCAGTTCTTAAAGAAGAAATGTGACAGCACTGGTAGGGAAGAGACTGATACAAGCAGAGGATGAGATTCCCGCTGCAGTGAATCCGATTCCTTCAACAAGTACAAGCTACTTGGGACCCCTGGGAGCCCTACGTGGGCTGGGCACCGGGATGCTCATGGTCTCTGGCCTCCCTGCTGGCTGGGGAAAAACAATGAGGCACAGAGCAATGGCTTGGTGGGGCTGGATACAGAGCTAGCAGCTGGCATCCGACAGAGCCAGGCTGAAAACCTGGTTCTGTTAGGTGTGAGGCCCTCAGAGCCTAAGTTTCCTCATCTGAAAATGAGAAAATAATGCCATTCATGGTGAACATAAGGCTCCAATGTGAAAATATCTTTAAAATACAAATACTAGTTTGCATGCCCTGACAGCTGGGGAGGGGACTGATCCGCACACTGACCTGAAAGCAGGGTGGGCTTCCTGGGCAGGCGACCTGCAGGCACACAGGGCCTCGTGCTTGGAAGGGCCCTCCACTTGGTTTCATCTCTGCTGTTGCTTTCTTGGAATTTTAATAACTTTTAGCAAGGGGCCCTGCACTTTCATTTTGCACTGGATTCCACAAATGGTGGAGCTGGTTATGCTTGTATGTGAAACTTAAATAAATACCTGTGGATAAGAGTTAGGGGTCTAACCCTCTCTTTGCATTCAGATAATGTTATGAAAAAGACTGACGCAGCTCTGAACAGCCTAAAAGGACTCCATGACGCCAAATAGTACACAACCCACTCATTGTAAGCAGGAGATGGCAACTTCCAGGTGCAGGATGGTGGGGGCCTCTAACAGAAATGAAGTGCCAGCCTTGCCCAGGGTGCAGAGGTGGGTACGGCAGGACCTCTCATCAGTTCTGCCTTGGCCCGGGATGTGCTGACGGCTCTGCACCCTATACTTCCTCTCTGCCTGAAGAAACTGCCCCCACTCACTTCAGGGAGCTGGGAGCCCTTAAGTTTATAAGCAATGCAAACTGTCGGTACCCATCAGCAGTGAAAAGCTTGTTAAAACAGTAGTCTGAGTTCAAGACAACTAAATCTCTGAGCAAAATACAACTGTATCACTTAAACACCTAGACAATGTGTATAGAGCACTAAGCAAAGGTGCTACCAAAACTAGACCATGAGGAAATTCACCTATGTTAAGACCATCACCTGAAAATGGCTCTTATCCAGGACAAAAATACCACATTGCTTATCATATAGAGGCTAACCTTTGCTAAGTGCAAACTCTATGCCAAGTACCTTTCTAAGCACTTTAGATGTATTTTCTCAGCTTATCCTCAACTCTGTTTATTCCCATTTTATAGGCAAGACGACTGAGGCACAGAGAGGCTAAGCAATTTGTTCAAGCTTGCACAGCATGTGACAGAGCTGGAATTGGAACCTGGGCAATCTGGCTTCAAGCACAACTCTTCACCACCACTCTGGGCTACAGCTTGGCTTTTAGTAAATATTTTGCCTGTCACTTTTCTTTTCCATAAAATAAGACGTGGGGTCAGGTGACCACTGAGGTCCCATTTTGTCCCAAAATGGAGAGATACAAAGATGAAGCAGTTATGAGTCTAGACTTACCCTTATATGAGGGTAGTCCAAAAAGTTCGTGGAAAAATGGAATTAAGAGATAATATGAATCTTTCCATGAACTTTTTGAAGACCCCTCATTTACTATGGGTCTGTAGGTCCTTCCTTGCAGGTCAAGCACAGGCAAAGTACTCAAGAGTGGGTGGCACATGGTGAAGGCCACAGCAGGAACTGTTATCATTGTCTGAGGGGTGGCCCTGGGTACAGCCAGGGAGGACTCTAAAGGATCTCAAATTCCAGCTCTCAAGGCTCCTGAGGGCTCCTGGAAACTTGCAAGTGTCCATGACACCCCAAAAAGCCAATCTCTGGAACGTCCACTCTGACAGCACCTGCCATTAGGAAGATGGTCATGGAGCCTGCAGGAGGAAGTCCCTGCACCCCCCGTATCCCATTGGTTCCTGGTTGCCAGCTACTCCACACAGGCCTGAGAGCTGGCCTGAGCCAACGATCCCAGTCAAACCTCCCCCCTTCCCAGCCAAGACAGTGACAATCATGAAAAGGAACATTTCCCACAGCGCCCATTTGAGGTTCCCCGGAAGCCCTGCTGCACTGGTAGCCAGGGGACAATGGATGGATTTCTTCCCACGGTTACCCAAGTCCCTCCTCCTCAGGCTCTGATCTACACCGGCTCAAACGCCAGCTCCACCACTTGGTAGCTGGGTCCCCTTTGAAAAATTAACTCTGAGTAGTAGTTCCCTAATTTACAAAACAATGGCAACACAGCTTAGGGATAAAGAGCACAGAGCCTAGAGCCAGACTTCCTAGGTTCAAGTCTCAGTTCCACCATTTACAAGCCTTGACTTAAGGCAAGTGAGTTCATGGGCCTGTGCCTCAGTTTCCTCATCTCTACAATGGGGATTCTTACAGCACCTCCCTCAAAGGTTACTGGCCAGATTAAGCGAGTCAACATTTTGTGCAACACTTAGACACATAAGTGTTTGCTCTTATTATTACTCTGAAGACTGCTGTGATTAAATGAGAACAGGGAGCCTACGGTGGGCACCACATAGGCACCCGGGAAGGGCGAGCCAGGGATGGCTTGACCACTACTATTGCTCTAGCTGGCACGGCCCTTACAGCCCTCAAGGCAGTCTGGCAGTGCCCTGGGGAATCAAAAGAGAAAATTCTTCAGCAATTTTCAAGTGAGACGTAAAACCTGAAAGAAAGCCAGTAGTCGGGGCAGAGGGGCTGCCGCCAAATCAGGGAGCCTGTGGGAAAGGACCCTGCTTCGTCCAGCAGCGGACACCCCTTCTCACCAGGCCTCGTCCCCTCAGAAGGCCTATGAGCAAGTCCCCAGTGCCCACCGCCCAGGCAGGGCAGATCCA